GAAAAAGCATGCACATGACTTTGTTTTCAAAGTGCACCGCCATTTGCGTGCTGCCTCATAGGCTAGTAGACAAATTACGTTTGCAGGATAATCCGGTGCTTTTGTAATGCAGATCTCAGCCCACTATACGCTGTTTCAGATATCTGCATCCACAGCAATCAAAAGGACAGGAGGCAAAAGAAACCACGGCTCATAATGGGGACATAAGATGCACCACCTTGCATAGTCGCATGCAGCGCAAATCAACTTCTGAACCTCGTAAGCGAAGTGGTGTTATGAATGGGAAGCTCGCTCTGAAATTGGCTGGAGAAATCGGCGCCTTCATGTAACAACCTCAAGCTTTCACCGAAAGTGTTTCATGGTGTAGATTTATCTTGCAAAACTCTAAGACATCTCGATTCACGTCAAAAGAGATTGACAATTGCAACAACGAACAACACCGTCGATCGAGAGTTCCACACTGTAAAAAATCGACGTAAACTTGACGTGTCTTTCCCTCGTCAAAAAAGACAGGCACGCTCATTGTTTCAAAACACGAGGTCGCCCTCATTATTTATGTGCCACGAGAGCCGATCCTTCCAGAAAAGCCGAAATCCCAGCGGTCAAAACATGCGCTGATGAATCAAAATAGCCTTGGCGACAAGGGAGAAATTGCTTGAGATAGTTTCGGTTTTACACTGAAAAAGAAAATCGAAAGTTTAGATAAAACCTAAGATAGACTAAACGTTTTGTTAATTCTTTAGGAATATAATAAAGTGAAATTATTATTATTAATATAGTGATTTGCTTAGTTTTGTCTTCAAAAAGACAAAGAACAAAAATAAGAGACTTTTGAAAACTGCGCAAGACCATCGCTATTGCAACCAGCTTCCGTTCAGCCGCCGTTGGAGTTCTGGAGAGTTCTAGCATCGCTTCCTTTTTACGTTTTAGCGGATATCTTAGATAGCTTACTTACGAATACCGTGTTCAATATTAGCAAGCGATTACTGAGAGCTGTGAGACGCAGCGTCGCAAATGGCGGACAGTCATGGCCGACTGGTGCAAGCGAAGGTGAGGAAGTTTCTTTTGTTTCTGCGAAGTGCGCCGCTGTTTCAAACTGTGTCCTGTACCGTGAGCTTGCTAAGCTATGCTTGACTCTCACTATGCTCTACCCGGTTTTATTTCGTTATTTGAGAAGAGCGTATTTTCAAAATTTATGGCTCTCTCCGCAGAGTGAGAAAGATCCGCGTGCCGCGGAACCGAGGGCAAGCCGAGGGCCTGTCCTGCAGGCGCCGTTCCTACGACGGTCGCCCGACGACGCTTTTGCGGAGGGTTCAAGTACTGTCTGACGGCAGTTCAGGCAATCACAGGTCATGCTACTTCTGACGTATGGTCCCAAGAGTCTCTCGCCAGCGATTTGTTTCATAAAGCGGGTGCGAGAAAAACGTTACAAGAGCGAGCAGCATGATTTCTTTCCTTTGCTGATGCCTGTGCTGATGCCTGTGTCGTAGAAAAGTGCGGTCTCTTTGTGTATGCCGAAGCGGCAAGCTTTCCAAGTTTACGATTCTGTGATGTAAATACAGTGAGTTTGTATTTCACGTTTTTTTAGCGGCGGCGAAAGCCGCTACAAAAGGCAGAGCAGTTAGAAAAGGCAAAAGCATGAAAAAATATTCAAAGGACCTGAATATTCGATGGAATTGAAAGACTACGAACGTACCAACTCGCCCAGTTATTCTTTGTCAAAGAATAATAGCCAATACTTATAAATTAAATAAATGCCAACTTTTATTTGGTTAAAAATTTATAATTGATGCAGCACACCCCTACCCTGCTCTAGTGCTTTTATGATATCAGATAATGTGTAAATATATAGGATAGTTCATAGCAACCATTTATGTCCGATCCATTATATTGAATCTTTTCTTTAAAAGCTCGAAGTTATATAAAAAAAGTGCTTATCATAAATTAAGCTGCACCACTGAATGTGTAATAGCGTATGACTTGTATGTGTGTTCTCAGCAAAAAAGGTGGCATTAAAAAAAGGGCAATCATTTTGTTTGCTCTCTGTTAGAGCTTCGTTCAGGTACACGCAAAATGTGGGTGTCTACATCTAAAAAAGTGTAATTGACATTCCCCGCAGGGCTGCAGGCCTGACTCAGTTGTGCTAGCAGGTTGCAACCTATGGGAACCTGCGGGGACCTGCATCACAAGAGTAAACGTGACGTCCGCCCACTGATCTCTATTATGGGTGGCTGGACGATGCATCGAGCAGACAGGTTTGAAGCCACCGTAAGTAAGCGGCCTGTCTCGATAGCGAGCGCTTGACAGGCTTTTCAACTCTCCCGAGTGCTGGTTCAAACAGCGTTCAGGGCGCTGGGTTTTTTCTTGTCATCCCAAGAGAGCCTGCTTGTTGCGGAGTAACGGTGCATCCGGACCCGAGAAGTCTCCTGGGAAGCCATTCGACGTGAACATTTTTAGATTCTATTTCACCAAAAAGTGTGTATGTCCCCGTATTCTTGGGATTTCATCCAGAACTAATTTCTGCAGCGCACTGGAACATGCGGAGAAGCACACTGAACAAAGCAAATCTATCGCAATGGTGACTCTGCGAGCGCTTTGAAAGGTTTGAATGGCATAAACGACTTTGTTTGCGCGAGCTCAACATTTCATTCATTTTATCAAGTGTTAGTGTTGAGAATACTTTGCAGGTACAATAGTTTGCAATCAGGAGTAATGTTCAATGCATTTGTATCCATGGGGTTACTTTTTGCATGACCAATTTTGAGCAATTTCGATAAACGCGCAAAAACTAAGCCTTCGCGAAAATTAGGTCGTTTACAGTAGTACAATTAATCTTCAAACCAATATTGAATACCGTATTATACTAAACCTCTAAAATACAATTTTATTATTAACGCAAACCGCCCTGAAATGGGCCATTCTCAGATGTTTGCGTTGTGGCCTTCATCAATCCATGTGCTTAAAATCTAGAAGCTGCAACCTTGAATCTTTTTTTTTTATTGTGCCTAAGATTTGAGGTAATAAATGTTGTGCCCCGCAATGAACACTATTACCTGTTGCATAGCCCTGGGCATGCAAAGAAGGCACACCATCTATGTCTGACATATCAGGCTTTCAGAAACAATATTGTCCGATTTTCCTCACCCTTTTGTTAGGATGAAGTTGTTACTATCTTGCCTTCCTCACATAATGGTCCTTTGAGCGAATTATGTGATGTTATATCATAGAGTTGCGTAGGGTAATTTTCTCTTCTCTTTTTACGCAGGATGTAATGGCATACCATCATCACAAAGGAGAGTGTACAGTGAGGCAGGCTCGGAAACTTGAATAAAGTCATAAGTAGGATTTCAATTTCTGTCATCAATTACGCGAAGAACACTGATCATAATGCTTGTATGCTACACATACATGCTTTCAGTTGAAAACTGCAATGCACCTCTTTATGGCTTTTCTCACACAGTTTCAGAGGACGCCGGTACGTCATTCTCACGAGGAATAGAGCTGCCAAAGATTTCCTCGTTAATTTCCTGACTCATTTTTAAGAGTGCATCTCCCGATGGTGGCGCCTCTGCATTATCATCATCAATTGAGTTGTCAACGGCATTTCCTAATATTTCACGAGAATGGAGCTATATGACATGAAATTTCACAGGTTGGAATACAGCCGTTCAAAGAAACAGCTTTAAAAAGTCGGCTTTTTAAATGCAGGCGCCGATTTTCCTGGCCAATTTGAGACCGTTCTTTCCATTCAGAACGCCCAACATACACGGCGTCCCAGATAACTTGCACCATACTTTAAAAAAAAAAAAAAAAAACACCGGAGGGCTCTGCAGGAGTGAAATCAACTGTCGTTAGCAAGCGTCTTGAGAAAGTGCACAGATTTTTTTTAATGCGCCTGGTTATGTAAATAACTAGCATTAATGAGCTAACCTTTCAAATATTCTTTTAAGGGCCAAGATGTCAGTTGTAAAGTTGCAGGGCGCATTGAGAAACACCCAATTAAAGTGTTTGAAACATAATATGTTTTCGTGCTTTTTTCCGGCCTTCAAAGAACGCACATTCGCGGCGCGCTCGCACGCCGTGATTGGGGAAGCGAGTTGTCACGCGGTATTTTTTTATTTTTTTTGTATTGCGCGGGCGTATTTTTGAAGGCTAGGAAAAAGCAGCATGCAAAGTGCACCTTGTTGAAAATGGTTTATTTGGGTGTTTCTTAATGCGCTCTACAACTTTCCATTTCACACATCGGCTTTTAAACGAAGATTTTAAAAGTTAGCTTGTTACTCTTAATTAAATAAATAGGCGCACTAAAACAATTTCGTGCATTTTCGGAAGAGGCTTTCTAACAGCGTACAGTTGGTTTTACTCCCGCAGAACGCTCCGTTTTTTTTTTGTTTTTTTTTAAGTTTGGTGCAAGTTATCTGGGACACTCCGCATATATGTACTGGTAGTGTACATTTAGTACACTAAAAGCATACATGTAGTGTACTAGACGTGCACTTATAGTATGCTAAAAGTACACTCGAGGTGCACTTATGGTATACTACATTTGTACTCGGGGTGTACTAAAACCTTACTATTTTGTTTCATAAAAGTATGAAATCAGTACGATTTCAGTACATACCCCAAGTTCACTATTAGTATACTTTCAGTATACTGATTTCGAACGACTTTTCGCTAAGGGTACATATGTCTGCTGTCATGCTTTGCCATGCCCTACATGGTGTCATTTTTGTTAGTCATTTAGTATTTTGACAGACCAAAAAATAATTTAATAATATTGTAATCGCGTTACCATTAACGAAGCTACTTTAGCGTTTTACCTTCTAAATTGACAGTAAGCGTCTATCAAAATACGGGTACGCCAACGCCAACCGATATTCGAACGCACCAAGTGAGGGTCCGTAAACCGGTTCTTTGTATCGGAACTACCGAGGTCCCAGGAAAGTAATGTAATTGTTTATTGTTTGTGCTGCAAAGGGTGATGTTTTCATCTTGTGTGTTCATTCCCGAAGGGACGTCGCGGCGAACTCTGTACGTTCTTTCAGTAGCACACCAAACCAAAGGCAACTGTTGATGATCTGAAGCCCAGCCAGGATGCGGTACATGTTCACGTATGATTCAACAGTGTCTCTGAAATAACCTGAAATGGACAAAAGTATTGAAGGGTATTCAGTCCCACTCTTACATTTTCTAGAATGCATTCAGATATCTCGTTTTCTACCCGCAGTTTACGTGAAAATATTCGCCTGTAAGAGATGTTTATGTCTTGAGTATACGTTCCGATGGCCGTCTACTTCATTTTAGAAAAAAAAAGAACCAATGATTGTATTCAGTATTATCAGACTGTCCAGAAATTGGCTAGCATGCTACACTATTAAGGATGTCTTAATGAAGAGTCTTTATTAAAAACCGGTAAGGGGTTCAGTAGTAAATATGGACACCATTATGCTTGTTTTGTTTCACACGCCAATTATCCAAGATCTTTTTTAACTGTGATGTATACAAACCAATAAGTCCGGTTCACTTCGGACTTGCTTTTCTGTAGTATTGGTGGCAACGCGTTGCATGTAACGGCGTCATCGGTAACGCGTTACTTTTTCCGGTAACGTAGTAAGGTACTCGTTACTTTTTGAAAAAAGTACGGGTAACACACTTACGCTACTTATTTTGAGTAACGAGTAACGTTGTTACGCTACTTGTTCCACAATCTTTCAAGACTTACACAATTACACTTAAGTGTTTTTCGTGTTTCAAGCCCCAAATACTAGGAATTTTCTAGTTTTTTTTTGTGTGTGTTTCTTTGCGTATTTTTGCGTGGGTATTTAGATAAAACCGACAGAAATGTAAAGTAATTACGTTCAGTTTCTGTATGAACATACTTTTTTTTTTAAATATGGTACTCGTGCATATTTGTTACGTCAAAACAGTCAAGCGTATTAATTCAGAACAAAAAAGTAACGCAAAACTAACGTGCGTTACGTTTTATCGGTAACGGTAACGTGTTCCTTTTATTTTGAGCCAACGTAGGTCGGTAATGCGTTCCTTTTATTTGCAAGTAGCGCGTAGCGTATTTTCTTACGTTTTTGCGGCGACGCCTACAACACTGCTTTCCTGTGACGTTTTAATGCGATATAGCAGTCTATTGCTACCCCCCCCCCCCCCCCTTCCTTTCCCGATTTTGTGAACCTTTCTGGCCTCCTTTCTGGCCTTCTCTGCTAAATTCTCGCTAAATTTAGCAGAAAAACTGATGTCACGTGACCGGTCTCCAAAATCAGTTTTCCCGCTAAATTTGGTTATAAAATTAATTTAACGTGACCCGAACTCACGAGACCTGCAGACAAATTTATTTTCCCACCGGTATTTGGCAGGAAATTTGATGTCACGTAACCTGACGTCACGGAAACTACAAAAAAATTATGTTTCCCACTAAATTTAGCGGAAAAATTGATGTCACGTGAACTATGCACCAATTAAGTTTCCCCGCTTAATTTCGGAGGAAGAAACGTCACGTGAGCTATGCAGCAATTCAATTTCCCCGCTAAATATGGCAGAAAAATTGATGTCACGGGACTTGACTTCACGTGACCTGCAGACAAACTCAGGTTGCCCGCGAAATTCAGCGGAAAAATGGGCGTCACGTCACCTATGCACCAATTCAGTTTCGCCTCTAAATTTCGCTGGAAAATTGCTGTCACGTGAACTGACGTCACTAGACCTACAAAAAAATTCATGTTCCCTGCTATATTTAGCTGAACATTGGACGTCACGTGACCTACGTACAAAGTCAGCTTCCTTGCTATATTTGGAGGGAAAACACTACCTTAAACTGAATTTTTAATCGACAACGTATTGACGCTAAATCAACGACGCAATCTCATTTCAATAACAAATCATCGTATGACCCAAAATCACCACAATGTCAATAGTTCCCCATCGCCATGTCGTCGAATAATCGAATAAGAATAAGGTCGTGCTATACTTCGTTTCACCTGCCGTCCGAGCGCGGCCAAAGGCTGAGGGACGGTTCGCAACTTCGAGTAGAGCATTCCTACGCACCACAAAGTAGTCCGCAAAAGTTTTTTTTTTTTTTTTTAATAACTGTTTTGTGTGTAAACATTGCACAATATTCCAGATGTGTACTGCTAAGAATGATTTGCAACTAAAGGAATTAAATATCTCAAGTTTGTTTTTAATATTATATGTAAATGCATGTGGTTTGGTGAAAACACATATATCCGCTGGCAACACGGCTGCAGCGCTCGGTTTCTCTGAGTGATTTCGTTCCCGTAATGGTCGAAAAATGTGCTTCGCTGCTTTCCACACCGAGTCGCTTCGAAACGTCCTTTCGCAAAGGCACGTTTGGGCGTCAGGCGCGAGAGATCGTGATGGAATGTCTACTTTCAAATTCGGCAGAAGACTCCGGCCGCGTCGTACCGGGAATGCGTTGTAAACAAGAAAAGTGTCCGAACCACTACAATTCACTGATACGCGGCGAAATCAGAGCACCCCTTTACTTGCCGATCACATTTAACGCCGAGAAGCCGGTGGAAAAGATCGCGCCTCGAGCCCTGATATATCCAGACAATAGAACAAAACGTCAACGGCCGGGCCATCGGGCACCTTGCAATGTGTACTTACATCTCGAAACTATATGCCGAAAAGGTGGAAAGCTCGGACACAGACGCCAGCGGCCAGCCTACGTACTGACATCCCCTGTGACTAAATTTCAGAACGTGAAAATGCACTTTTTAAACCTGTAGCAGAAGATACCGTTGGTACACACGTAGCAGACGAAATACTCGGCGAGCGCTGGCGGCGCGGACAACCAGCGGCGCAGCGGAGTGATACAAAAGTGCAGGCGAGATCGCGTGACCTATTGCCGGCGTGTGATTGGCTCCGGCCACACGTAGCTTTGGCTGCGCTTGGACGGAAACTGAACCGAAGTATAGACGTCTTTCTTAACGTTGTCCTCTACAACGTCGTCTACTCCTACGTCGTCCTCGACGTCCTCCTAGACGCCGTCGACGTCAAATGCCGTGACGCCGTCGTCCATGGCGCCTTGCGGCACGTTTGTCACAAATATTTTTTAACTGCGTATGCTTTGCGATTTTTATTCGACCCCTTTGACTGAATTTGGATAAATGCGCTGTATTAATATCGAGGTATAAAGGTAATGCAACTTAGATAAGTGTAGATATTGAAAGGATAAACTCAGAAGTAAGTTACATCAACAAAAAGTTTAGATCGATTTACTACAATTTCGCGCCATGCAAGAAAGCGCCGGAGCGATTGGGCTTGCACATACATTATATTACAATTCTGGTGTTCCAGCCTCAAGGAACGGTAGTTGGGGAGAAGTGCAGAGGAAAGGAAAACACTCCGTTAAAAATGGTCGAGCTACAGATGGGGACTATCCAAGGCATCTCATACACTCTGCAGAAAGACGTAGAATACTTTCAAAAGTCAAAGTTCTCGATTTTGCTGCGAGACGACACAATAATGATCCGGAGACAGTAGGAGGAAATTGCGAGTACAAGCATCACGATAACCCAGGTCAACGAATTGGAAGGCGCTTACGGTGACTGTTTGAAAATGTAAGTCTTTAGCCTTGTCTGAAAAAAGCTCAAGATGCAAATCAACATTCACCTGTGCATACAGCGTGCACATGTATTATCAATTCGTAAAAAAAAAAAAAATTAATTGCTATTTAGACTTTAATTTCGCTTCCAGCCATTGTGGAAAAATTAGTGAAGGTTGGTCTAAAAGTATGATGGGGTAAAACGTGGTGTTTTAAGGGCTCTGTTAGCAATCGTGGGCAATTTTAAGGCTGAATATTCATGACCAGCTTGTATTTATGTCTAAAAAAAAGTCAATTAACTGTATTTTGATTCCCGTTAAGTCTGAACGTTATCAGCGCTGCGAGCCAATGGGACTAATTAAGTTTCTCGGAAAGCGATAGATAACGGAATTGTTTGTTTGTGTTTCAAAGTGTGCGGTACAGTCAACACACCCAATCAAGCGCGAATAATGCGTCATGACCATGAGTTTCTATTCTGTGCGTTTTAGTTTGTGTTATAGCATGGCCAACTTTCTGGGATATTCCGTGGAATCAAATGGTTTTAAGGAAATATTAAAGTTATACTTGATTTGCCGTATATGAAATCGAGGCGATTATGGTCCTCAGGAAGGTTACCATATTATGTATAGAAAACGAAAATTGACAATCTTGTGAATGATGCCCATATGATTCAATTCAACGAAAAATTGTAGGGCCGTGCAATACAACCTATACATATCGGAAAGTTTAATTACTGTGTATTGATATTTTATGACAGTCATCTTTTACATTTTCAGGGAAGATTGCCATGTGTGTTATTGTTCAGTTGTAATTGTCATCTTAGTGCCTGCGCCGAGGCGTGATGTCCAAGAAAGTTGGGAATACAACATTTATGCATGAGCTTACTTCTATTTGCTTCACTTATAAGGACGCTCATCAACGTTAGTATAGTAGGGAATATTAACTTAAGCAGGTTGTCGCTTAAAACAATTTTAATTTTCGTCTGCACCATTGCTCACATCTGAGTATAGCAAAATGCAGACATCGTTTTTTTCGAAAACAAACAAAAAAGTCTACAACAATTTTAAAATATTTGTTAAATATTTGTCAATCTTCTGTTCGAAACATTTAGTAGACTAAAAAGAGCGCGCAATTACTTAGAATCTTTGACTCCAAACCCCTCTCCTAAACATCTGGGACGAAAACAAAAATTTAAATTTAATTGCACAATAATATAGCACCCATGCTAATTGCGACCATTACGGGTCAAACGTAACCCTGCTGCGTAAAAAAAAAAGTAGTGGACGGAAAGAGATTACTTCAGAAATAGGAACCCAACCTGCTGACCCAAGTTTCTCCCCTTCCGGTCTAAATAGTGAGAACGCTTTCATTAATCAGTTAGCCCTTTTTACAGCGATAGCAGCTATGGGCTGTTCCCACCACTGAAAAATTACGCCCGTAGAATTTGTTGGTGTTGTAAATGTAGGGCGTAGGCTGTCCGTCGTCGGTTTTGCCAGATCCATGAAAAAGGTCACCCGCCGTCCGCGGGATAAATTCGATCTCCGCTGCGTGAGAAGCGGGTGTGCTACCGACGAGACTCAGGTTGCTTGTCTTTTTCGTGTTCACGCGAAACAGGAAAGCTCCTTCGCTGCCATCCGAGCTGCCGTGTCATCGGCAAAAAGTGCAGCCGATCGGATGGAGTGCCAGATGCTGGTCCTCTAAGCGAAATAGAAAAGAACACTGCAAGTATAATTTATAAAACGAAACCACAAGCGAAGGAGAACGAAGAACACGAAAATAAGGTCAAGAGCGAAAAGATAAGGAGAACGGTAGAGCACAGTGGTGAGCAGTGATGAGCAGTGACGAATACGAACAGGAAGGAACAGAGGAGGACGTGATTACTGTGCCCCGAGTGTGTGTGTGTGTCCGTGTTGTACACGTTCCTCAAAAAAAGGAACGAAAGATCGTTCCTCGTTTCTTTTGATTTTTGGAACGCGTTCTCGTTACAAGTTTCATATTTGAAAAAGGAACTCGTTCCCGTTAAAAAAGACATGGAACGTATCGTTACATATACGTTACTTTTGTATTTTGCTACCATATTTTGCTAAATCGAAGAAATCTTTTTTTTAATCTATTTTTTTAAATGTAAACATACGAATTTGAGTGCCATGATGGTAGGACACCAGGAGAAGAAAACTAGAGTAAGCAGGGTTTCATTTGTTGATATATTAAAGGGGCACTGACACCCCAAAGGTCGTATTTTTTTTATTGTCTAAAACGATGCAAGTTGCAGTCATAGACACGCAAAAAAAACCGCATCGCGAAAAAAAATTTTCCCGCGCGCGCGCGCGCCTTTTTATTTTTGGTGTTTGATTTTCCCGCCTCTCGCCTCCTCGCTTCTTTTGATCGGTGACGTCAAGAATCATGAAATTTAGAAGCTTTGTAGGCGACATCTCTAAAACATTTAATTACGGCAATCCTAAAACATGTTTTTTAATGCAATTACGAACGCACTACGGCCCTTTTTTTATGAAATACCAAAAATCGGGAGTTCGTTGTGGTGCCGTCTCCTGGATTTGTATCCTCCAACGGAAAACAGGCGACACCGCTCCAAACTAAAGCCCCTCGATGGGTTTGCGTTTGTCTTGCAAGTAGCGTCAAATGCGCGAGTGCACGAGGCCCATGTCTCGAGCGGCCCTTGGAAGCAAATGGCGGCGCAGCACTGAAATGAGCGGGCCTTGGAAGCGAATGGCGGCGGAGCACCCGCTCATGGCACGTGTCTCGAGCGCTTCCACAACAATGGTTGGCGGTACTTGTAAAAAACGCTTTTATCAAGGGGCTTTACTCCAAACCGGTCCGCCGCAACGCCGGCGCCCGCTCCTTTCCTCCTCGCTTTGGGTCGTCATGGCAACAGCAGGGAGTGGTGAAAGAAAGTGAACTCTCAGGGCTCCGCAATTTTTGACGTCAAGGCACCGGCGCCGATAGCGCGGGAACTTTGAATTCGGCATTTGGAAATTGTTTTTTTACTTCACAAATACTGAATTCCCAAATGTCAAATTTTGAGGGTAATGTCCTGGCATCGTTTTCAATCGTTTCGGATACTAAAAAAAATGATTTTGATGTGTCAGTGCCTCTTTAACCTTTAAAATCTCAGCTTTGAACCTTAATCATGTTTGTGGTGGGCGATTCAGACGAGCCAAATGTACTGTTACCCCATATTGCACGAGGGTTTTACAACAACCTCACACGTTTCAGTCTAACAAAGTCCCTTCTTCGAACCTAACAGCAGTTGCCTCTCGTTGTTGCGGTCCTCAAGACGAGCAAGTGAAGAAGAGGGTAGGGCTTTTGGAATGTCAGTCTTGAAAACTGCAAGTACTTCTTCGCAAAGGTTGGATTCGTTGTTCAGTTCGAAAGTGGGGGACAAGGGGTAAAGGAATAAAGGTTATTTTTTGTGTATCTTCAAGTGATTATCGTTCGTGATACAAGGGAGTGTTCCATGTCTGGAAACCTGTTCGTTTGTTGTAACTGTAGGTCTCTTTGTAGAGGTTGAGTGATGACTTTGGTCGGCCTTAGATTTTGGGCGTACTAGGATTCGTGAAAAACAAAAGGAAGTAGAGTTTGAAACGACCCTCGTTCTGTGTCTTTTCCTTCGACTAAAAGTTTTGCTTTTTGTACCGCAGCCTCGAGTACTGAAAAAAAGAATCGATGTTCACTAGCTCTCCTGCACCCGACTGTTACCAAGCGAGGACCACACAAAATAAACATTAATACAAGTAACCAAAAAGTTAACGAGATCCCGCTCTTCTTAAAGATATGATTTTTATATATGGTTTTTATACTTTTACAATTTCCCTTTTAGAAATAAAGCAAAAATTATCCCACTGGACAAAAAAAAAGGAACGCGTTCCAGGAACGCCGTTCCGTACAACACTGGTGTATATATATATATATATAATGTGTGTGTGTTTAAAAATGACGCTGAAGTCGCTCTAAGGAAAGCAGAGAGCTTCATCAATCGTTTTAAAATTTATTCTAATTGATCAATTCCTAAATAAGGGTATCTATTTTTTTAATGATTTTTGTGGTCATCCGTGATCGCTGTCCACGAGAGTGGGCAGTTGAGTACTTAACGGAATTGTTGTAACTATGTTGATCGTAAATGTCATCCAGCCTGAATGACATTTGAATTGCGCGTCTGAAACCGCCTAAATGACATTTGAGTTAAAGGACATTTACTCCCAAGGCCTTCAGGACGCCCGTCTGAGAGGGGTATTAATGTCCCCCTGTTTAGGGTGATGCCATTCTTCGAATTATTTGATTGCGACTGCCTGCACTCTCTCTCGGAAAATAAAAAAAAAATAAAATATCCGGTAACAAAATGATCCAATGGCACTGTGAGAGCCGAGAGCTCGTGCCAGGAGACCCGCTTTCACACACTCCGGAACCAAAAATAATATAAAGCGTTTTGAACAGAATGGGGGTCACATCTATGTTTTGTTCCAAACGCTTTTGTTTACGCTACAGCAAACCATGGTGCATGAATGCGTCGCCTATGCTCAGCGCCTTCGCTGTGACGTGTCGAGGCTACCGCTGTGACTGTAATGGTTAACACGGGACTGCTCATTAAAAAAAAAAAAAAGAAATTCATCTGGGATCGAAAAATGTGGGCTATAAGGTAAACCTTTGTGAAAACATTACTCACCTATGATGAGAGGCTTCAGTAGAAGAATTGGGGTACCGATGACACTGCATAAGCCATATCCAGCCGAAAGCCTTTCGAGGCCGAGATAGTCCGCCAGTAACACAGCAAACATTGATAGCGAGCAACCCATTGCCGCAGCCATAGCGAGGACTACGACAACTAACATGGCATGTGATTTCACGCTAGCGAGGGCGGCGACAAGTATTCCGGCAGAGAGTAAGCTGATGGATGACAAAGTGCTGCGACGGAGGAGGTTCTTATCTGCAATCAGAGGAATCAGTAGTCGGCCTAACACGTCCGTGATTGAGAAATAGGAAAGCAGGGTAGCGGCTTTGGATTCTGAGATTCCAATGTCCCTGGAAAGGTCAACAATAGTGGTCGTAATTAAGTCCAGGTTCAAATACATCGCTAGCCACGATAAAAACAGGACGTAGAAAATTGAAGTTCGGAGTAACTCTGCCACCATCTTCATGAGCTTTGGTTTTGATTCCGGGGACTTGAAGGTAGGTTTTCCTAATGTTCCATATTGTTTTGCTTCCCTGTGGAGTGCGTCTGCAGAGTCATTTAAATTATCGCAGATGTCAATTACATGAAACTCCGCCCGTGCGATTGTCAAGGGATGACTGAAAAATGCACAAAGAGGAATCAAGTTCAGAAGGAGACCACCCAGAAGAAATATAGTGCCCTTTAAGTTGTATACACGTATTAGTAACAGTATGAGACTTGGCAAGACGAAAGTTGAAACACCTGCTCCAGTGTATACAATGCCGTGGGCTATTCCTCGGTAAACCGCGAAATGCTGGCTCACAAACACTTGTACGCAGACGGCTATCGTTCCACTGCCGAGTCCTGCGGGAATAATAAGACACAATATGTTATATTCATATTGAGGTTTAGAGTTCACTTGAAGATCATAAAGTACATTAGCGTTTCTAAATTTACACGAACCAAAGCTAGATGAGATACAAAACTTAGCTTTTGGTGTTTAAGGAAGTGGTGATTAGCGCCGGAGAGGTGCTATACAGCTTTCCGTAGCTTATTCTCCTGGTAAACGTGCCCAGACAATTCTCAATGCACTCACGCGGAGGATTGTTTATTGCAGAGTGCCATTGCTAATTCTCTGCGTGTGATTTACAGCACGGAACGCAAAGAGAGCTGCGCCCGGGTAGCTGTACTGCTTGTCGCTCAGAAGCGCTAGACTAAAGAGTAATGGAACAGTGCTGTCACTAAACTGTAGTTACTTGGGGATGATGGGATACCAAGTTTTAGAAAAAAAGTGGTGCTGCTGTTGTTTATTTGTACGTAGTCTTCATTTGTTATATCTAGGTCGTATAGTTTCCCGTTTAAACCGAGAAACACCGAAAAACATCCGCCGGTGTAAAAAAAATAATATTGTTTAAAGCCAAAAAGAAAAAAAGAAATACCGGTATTTGAATATTTTTGTTTCTTCCACTGAAAATAATGTCCTATGTAAACGTTCGTCAGACTCTTTGGTTCTGTTTATTGAACGGTGGCTGCTTTAGGTCTCCTTACGTCTCCTTAGTAATCGAGGTGTGTTTTTTCTTTGTCAGTGCCGGTTACTTTAACCTACAGTTTAGATCCCTAAAAGTTGGTCCTCGCTGTGGTCTTTTGTGGATTGTCCCATTCAAGGTTGCCCCCCTTGTTTAGGGGTTAAAAGCGCTAAAAACGACGGACGAGTAGGAGAGACACACACCACAGAGCGCTATTTGCAACTGGTTTATTATTGGAAAAACCACACGTACCGCGAAACCAACAAGACACACATCCGATTCAGTTCCAACCGTCGCTAATCACACTTCTTACTCTTACACCATGCATGATCGTAAAAACGATAACTCTGATTCAAACAGGGTTATCGATGGGGCACTTACACACGTATCCTCGTCACACTCGGAAGTAAAAAACGCTTCCGTTATCTCCCTTGTCTTTCTATTTTTGTTTCGTGCCAAGATGACGGTGTTGTCTAAATAGGGTAAACACTCACACCTACTGCAATGTACTGCGAGATTGCCAGTGGGGGCTGACCTCAATGACAGGGCATGTTCCCTCAGTCTTTCGTTCAAGCATCGCCCCGACTGCCCCACGTATACCCTCCCACAAGACAGAGGAATTCTGTACACTACCCCCACTCTGCATCCTACGTATTTTGTTGCGTGCTTTTTCTGACAAATATCCAACCGTGTGTCACGCCGTTCCACCCTCCCACATAGCTTGCTTAATTTCTGTGGAGCTGAAAGGAGAACCGAAATGTCATGCTTTTCCCCTACCTTTTTGATGTTATGGCTAACGTTATGTATATACGGTATCACCACTGGTCTTTTTTCTGGCTTGCCCCTCTCTTCCCTCTTCCCTCCTCTACGAAACTTTTTTAGCAAGCACTCTACCACCCCCTTAATAATCTCACAGGGAAAGCCTCCCTCCTCTAGCCTTCTCACTTGTAACCCGAAGCTTTCGGCTACGCTGTGCTGACAGGACTTCGTTAAGGCCGCGTTCAGGCAGGTTGTGGCGATCCCCCTCTTGATAATCTTGGAGTGGTTCGAGTCATAGGGCAAAACACCTTTTTTCGCCCTAGGACAGTAAGTCCAACATACATGCGACGGGAGAAGGGCCAACTTCAGATCCAAAAACTGCAAACCACCCTCCACCGGGTTCTCACTTGTGAAATTCAAGCCCGAGGCGCTAGTTCTGAAAATCTCCAACATGTCTGACACAAACACCGCCCTTTCTGACTCCCCTTTTTTCCGGAACAGAACAAGGTAGTTGTCCACAAATCTGAATACATGGACGACTCCTGCCTCCAATCTATTCTTAATGTCCCTATCACCGTCGTTTTTAGCGCTTTTAACCCCTAAACATGTTCAACCAACTAGCCCAAATCCAAACCCTGTTGCCCCCCTTCTTTGAGGACCCTAGTTGGGTCGTTTGAATCACTTTTGTATTGTTTTGGGTGAGGCGGCCCTTAGCGAAAAGTCCTTCAAAATCAGTACACTCGAAGTGTACTGAAGTATATTAAAGTATACTTTCAGTGCTGTCTTTGTACTGATTGTATACTTTAAGTGTACTTAAAGTATACTTCCAGTAAAAATGGCGGTGGACTGAAAGTATACTCGTCCGTACAAAACTAGTACATGTAGTAGAATTGCTTGGTAGAAGAGCGTGTTGGTTTAGGTCATGGATGAAGAAAGAATAAACAATTAAAACAGGGACAACACAACCACATCTTTCATTTTGAAAGATGTGGTTGTGTTGTCCCTGTTTTAATTGTTTATTCTTTCTTCATCCATGTAGTAGAATTGTAGTGCCCGCGGTAAAAAGTAGTTCAAAATCAGTATACAGAAAGTGCGCTTAAGTATACTAAAGGTCTACTTTCAGTGCTTGCTGTGGGTGTACTCAAATTATAATAACGGGTATATATATATATATATATATATATATATATATATATATATATATATATATATAGTGCAATTTTTAACATCAACACACTAAAAACGCGATAGATAGGCCGATGCCGTTTTCACAGAATATTTGCGGGGCTCGGAGGACATTAGATGAGTAAATAAACGTCACAGTACGTTGTCTAATTAGCTTTTTTAATTGACAGTGTAATTGACCATGTTGAATTTTCAATTTTAAAGGGGCTATCAATAAACTTTAGCCCAACTGAAACAATTTGCGAAAAGGTGACGAGTTTTGGGTTATTCATAGCTAAAACTCTGCCTTTCGTCGCCTGATTAAAAACAGCGCGCTGGACTGAGCGCAGGATGCTATTCTTACGTATTCCCTTCAGTCGAACCGTTGGATGCATGATGCTGGAGCATTTACCAAAGGCACGCTGTCAAAAGTGTGCAACTTCGTTTATGCTGAATGCGACAGCACTTTATGAGGGTTGTAACTTCACTAGAAAATTAAATAATGCATAGAACTTCAGTATGAGAAGTTCTCGGTAACACAAACAAACATGCCATCACCAATATGCCAGTCAAAACCGCTAAGTCACCCTCTACTTTGCCCGCCCCTGCCGCGCGTGGTTCTTGAATCGAGGAAAAAAGTGCAAAATTTGATAAATAAATATCGGAAAGCCCCTTGCTGTTTCATGAATAGTTTTGATTGTGTTAGGCTCTAATAACGACTGCCTCTAAAGCAGCAATAATAAAAAAGTCAATTTACGAATTTTAGTTACTTAAAAAAATGTTGCCACGGTTATTCACCCATGTAATGTCCGCCGAGTCGCTCGACACACATGGAGAGTGCATCAACATGACAGTGAGCCCCCAATTTTCCTGAAACCAGTTGATTAAAAGATATCACCGGGTATAGACAATTGCAAGCATGGCGCGACAAGTGGTGCCCCATGCGTGCAAGCGCGTGCAACGCGCGGGTGAACGTAGCTTTGGCAAGCTCGTAATCGCACGGGCGTGCCTGCTCGAGCAGAGACATGGCGGCGGCCAGTCGCCCAGCTTGCAATCGTCTATAGCTGACATAATGTGACATAGGGATGCTTCATTTCTCATTTCACTGCAGACCACGTGGTGCAAAAGTTTCCCGGGGAAACGACCGGCACTGTCATAGCATACTTACGTCGCAAATGCAACATGGACTTACACCTAAAAAAAAGCACAAATACCACAATTTGCTACATTGTACGTCACGGAAAGTAGCGTTATCTAACTTGTCAATAATTATTTTAGCTAGTCATTTCTATAAGTTTAGCAATTGAAAAGTCTACTTTTATTGCAAAGATAGCTTTTATTTTCCCTGAGCCGTATTTGTTACCTTTATTGAAGAATAAAAGTTTACTGTAAAAAAAAACTGTTAGCACTATTCGGAAGCTAGGCGATCGAGGGCCATCGCACCAAGTGTTTAATGCTGCTGAAGAAAAGCATGCATATAACTTTGTTTTTAGAGTGCACCGCCACTTGCGTGCTGCCTCATAGGCTAGTAGACAAATTACGTTAGCAGGATAATCCGGTCTTTTTGTAATACAGGTCTCAGCGCACTATACGCTGTTTCAGATATCTGCAACCACAGCAATCAAAAGGACAGGAGGAAAAAGAAACCACGGCTAATAATGGGGACATAAGATGCTCCACCTTGCATAGTCGCATGCAGCGCAAATCAACTTCTGAACCGCGTAAGCGAAGTGGTGTTATGAATGGAAGCTCGCTCTGAAATTGGCTGGAGAAATCGGCGCCTTCATGTAACAACCTCAAGGCTTTCACCGAAAGTGTTTCATGGTGTAGATTTATCTTGCAAAACTCTAAGACATCTCAATTCACGTGAAAAGAGATTGACAAGTGCAACAACGAACAACACCGTCGATAGAGAGTTCCACACAGTAAAAAATCGACGTAAATTTAACGTGTCTTTCCTCGTCAGAAAAGACGGGCACGCTCATTGTTTCAAAACGCGAGGTTGCCCTCATTATTTATGTGCCGCGAGAGCCGATCCTTCCTGAAAAGCCGAAATCCCAGCGGTGCAAGCATGCGCTGATGAATCAAGATAGCCTTGGCGACAAGGGAGAAATTGCTTGAGATAGTTTCGGTTTTACACTGAAAAAGAAAACCGAAAGTTTAGATAAAACCTGAGATAGACTAAACGTTTTGTTAATTTTTTATGATTATAATAATGTGACAATATTATTAATAATATACTGATTTGCTTAGTTTTGTCCTGAAAAAAACAAAGAACAAAAATAAGAGACTTTTGAAAACTGCGCAAGACCATCGCTATTGCAATCAGCTTCCGTTCGGCCGCCGTTGGAGTTCCGGAGGGTTGTCGCATCGCTTCCTTTTTACGTTTTAGCCGTTTTAGCTGATCTTTTATAT